AGATTTGTTGGCATGGCATGAAGCATCCACTCAGCGTCATCATCTTTTGTGCGGCCGATAATCCTTGAGGCCGCACACTGGCCTTAGCTTGCCTGGTGTACAGGAGTTTCTAACATTTTCAAGTGCCCTATGAAACGAAAGTTCGTGAACTCCCTCCACGTAGCCTGCCGTAGTAGTGCGTATCACGGCGGGAGTCTGCGAGCTCAATTGATCTATTCATGTTTGGCCAATGCACAGTTGTGACTCACTCTTACAATCATCTTTTTATGTTTGGGGGATGTCGGTGCCTATCCTACTTCGCCGGATTGCCATCCTGCAGAGCCGGTGTCGATGCAAGCTGGAAAGCAGGTGTCTACGCTCGTGGTTCCAGCTACCTCCAAAAGAACCTGCGGGAGCTGCCTGAAAAGCCAGCTGCGTACGCCAGTATCTGGGTTTCCGGCCAAACCTATGCGACCCTAAATATCTTAGTTCTGATATTATATAAAGGGGTTGCTTACGGAAAATTATTCATTTGCATGCGTTTACACGTACGAATCTGATATCTTTCACAAAGTAGACTACAGGTCGGGATTGCCTGTGCTAACTCCTGAACTAACAGGCAGAATATCATGGGGTGCAAAGGGGCTGCCGCGCAAGCAATTACTCTCGGCTGTGCCGGTCCGCAGGCACGAGGATGCTTACTTTGCAGAGCTAGTCTATGGCCTCTATCACAATTTATCGGGCATACGCAAAGAATGCACCCAGTTAGTGCAAGACATGCAGCAACCCTTATTGAGCGATCTGTGCACCGCCTCCATTGGTGCGGGAAGTATAAGCCTTTTTAGGTCAGATAGAGCTGCGCATACAGAGCTCGACACTCCCGGATTCTAACGTTCCTCTAAAGCCAGAGTTAGAATGGCCATTGCAAAACCTGCACAGTATTCGATGGCAATGCTAGATCCACGCATTGTCGCTACCCCATGCAAAGCTCTCCTGAGGCACTCTCCCAATCGGGCGTGCAAGCGTCCCCAGCGGAGGCTGCGGCGACGACCAGCGCGTTCGCCCAGAGATTCAAAAGGCCGCCAACTGAGCAGTAGCGCAAAAGGCGCGATTGAAGATAATGCTACGCAGCTTGCGTCGAAGCCTTTCCGCTCCTACGTTGCAAAGTTCTTAAA